TCTAATGTGAATCTGTTGACCTTGATGGTTCAGTTAAAGGTCTTTAGATGCTAAATTCACACATCACTAACCTTCCCTAGCTAGATAGTAGGCATTTTAGTTTGAACTGGTCCAGCTACAGTCAGTGAAGTGGGATGAAAGCCTTCAGGGCTGATGCTCGCTAGTTCTCAGTGGACTAGAATGGTAAAAATCAGTTCAGACTAAACATACAGCTCTTAGCCAGCTAAAATAAAGGAAGATATATCCCACTGAGAGAGAAGGTGAGATACATATTGCTCTTTGTTTGTTTGTTTCTAGAATCATAGAATCATTTAGCCTGGAAAAGACCTTTAAGATCATAGAGTCCAACATTAACCCAACACTGCCAGGTCCATCACTAAACCATGTCCCTAAGCACCACATCTACATCTCTTTCTAAATACCTCCAGGGATTGTGACTTAACCACTTCCCTGGACAGCCTGTTCTAATGCTTTGACAACCCTTTCCATGAAGATATTTTTCCTAATATCCAGTCTAAAGCTCCTCTGATGTAACTTGAGGTCTTTTCCTCTCATCCTATTGCTTCTTACCTGGGAAAAGAGATTGATACTCACCTTGTTACAACCTCCTTTCAGATAGTTGTAGAGAGCGTCAAAGTCTCCCCTGAGCCTTCTTTTCTCTAGACCTCCCTCAACTGCTCCTCATAAGGCTTGGCCTCTAGACCCTGCACCAGCTTTGTTGCACTTCTTTGGATGTTCTCCAGTAGCTCAATGCCTTTCATGCAGTGAGGGGCCCAAAACTGAACACAATATTCGAGTTTTGTCCTCACCAGTACTGGATATGGGGGAACAATCACTCATCCTGCTGGTCATACAATTGCTGATACAAGCTAGGTTGCTGTTGGGCCTTCTTGGCCACCTAGACACACTGCTGGTTCATATTCAGCCAGCTGCCAACCAACCCCTCTAGGTCCTTTTCTGCTGGACAGCTTTCTAGCCACTCTTCCCCAAGCCTGTAGCGTTGCATGGGTTTGTTGTGCTGAAGTGCAGGACCCGGCACTAAGCCTTGTTGAAACTCATACAGTTGGCCAACTGTCCAGATTGATCCAACCTGTCCAGATCCCTCTGTAGAGCCTTCCTACCCTCTCCTACCTAAGTTGGTGTCTTCTGCATACTTACTGTTCATTTGTTTTTCAGTATCTAATAACTGCTGCAGATAGCTTAATTTATATGAGGTTGATGTTTTGGGCTTGGCAAGTCCCATGTGTGATTTACACGAGTGTGTGCCCGCCGGAGTGAAAGCTCTTGGCCAAGAGATACCCTAGGACATATCAACTGAAAGTAGATATCTCTGGGAGACTATATCCCACCTCAGTGTCTGGCTTTTTTTGGAATCAGTGGGTATTGGGCATCTAAATACTCCTTCGGTCAATGGAGCCACCTCTCTTGCTTAAAAGCTCACAGCAAGTCAGCACCAGCACTAAAAAAAAGCCAAGATCACATCTATTTCAGTGTTTAAGGTATTGGACATTCCTTTTCCAGTCCTTTGCCTAAAATGGATGACTTTCCTCTTAGACTGTTTGAAAACAAGATGAGATTTTTTTTAAAGTTTAATCTATATAATCAAGTTTACCTGAATCTATCATAAGTTCACTTTTCATACAATCATATGGTTTGGGTTGGAAGGGACCTTCAAGATCATCTAGTTCCAACCTTCCTGCCACAGGCAGGGACACTTTCTACTAGACCAGGTTGCTCAAAGCTCCATCCAACCTGGCCTTGAACACTTCCAGGGAGGGCTCAAGCAGGTTCTGTCATTCTGATGTTGGGGCCCCCAGAGCTGGATACAGCACTGCAGGAGAATCTCATGAGAGTGGAGCAGAGGGAAAGAATCCCTTCCCTCGACCTGCTGGCCACACTTCTCTTGATGCAGTCCAGGACACGGTTGGCTTTCTGGGCTGTGAGCACACATTGCTGGCTCACAGGCAGTTTTCCATCACTAATAGTCCCAAGTTCTTCTCTTTGGGGCTGCTTTCAAGCCACTCCTCGCCCAGCCTGTATTTGTGCATGGGATTGCCCTCACCTGTGTGCAGGACAGGTTTTGGCTTTGTTGAATTTCATGAGGTTGGCACGTGTCCACCTCCCAAGACTCTCCAGGTCTCTCTGGATGCCATCCCTTCCCTCCAGCATGTTGACTGCACCACACAGCTTGCTGTTGTCCACAAACTTGCTGAGGGTGCACTCTATCTCACTGTTCACGTCACTGACAAAGATGTAAAGCTGGTCCCAACACCAGCCCCTGAAAAATGCCACTCGTCACTGCTCTCCACTTGGACACCAAGCCGTTGATCACAACTCTTCGAGTGCGACCGTCCAGCCGATTCCTTATCCACCAAGTGGTCCATCTGTCAAAGGCCTCTCTAATTTAGAGACAATGATGTCCTGCAGGATAGTGGACTTGTACAGAAGTCCAGGTAGATTATATTGGTTGCTCTTCCATTATCCGCCAGTGCTGTAACCCCATCATAGAATGCCACCAACTTTGTCAAGCAATATTTGTCCTTAGTGAAACCATATAGTGAAACCATATTGGCTGTCACCAATCACCTCCTTACTTTCCATGTTCCCTAGCATAGTTTCCAGGAGGATTTGCTCCATGATCTTACCGAGCACAGGGGTGGGACTGACTGGCCTGTATTTCCCTGGATCTTCATTTTTTTTCCTTTTTTAAAAATGGGAGTTATGTTTCCCCTTTTCCAGTCAGTGGGAACTTCACCGGACTGCCACGACTTCTCAAATATGATGGATAGTGGATTAGCCGCTTCATCTGCCAGTTCACTCAGGACTCGCTGATGCATCTCATCAGGTCCCATGGACTTGTGCACCTTCAGGTTCCTTAGATGGTCTCAAACCTGATCTCCTACAGTGGGCAGTTCTTCATTCTCCCAGTCCCTGCCTTTGCCCTCTGCATCTTGGGCGGTGTGGCTGGAGCACTTGCTGTTGAAGACCAAGGCAAAAAAGTTGTTGAGTACCTCAACCTTCTCTTTTCAGAGTACTAACAATGAATTAGCCTCACTTTTTTTGGAAAGGTGGTAAAACATACACTCCAAAGCAAATATCAGGCTGTTGAGATAAATAAACAAATCAACCAATTTAGACAAGCATTTTTAGTGGAGGGAAGATGTGGCAGTGAAGTACTTGCTAATGGACTTGTTAGAAAAGTTACTGCATTAAAAAAAAAAAAATGTTGTAAAAGTGCACAGTGCTGTGCCAAGCCTGATCAAAGTTAGAGCTGTATGAATTAATTTATAAAGTGAAAACTTGAGCTATTTATAGATATGAGATGAATTTGGCAATAGTTTAAGTCCAGAGAGTTAAAACTTTCCTTTGAAAAAGTCAGAACGTTTTGGAAGTATTTCAGTCTTTTATTTTTGCACAAGTGTTCTGCAAATCTCTCATGTTTCCCCTCATGCTTTTTAAAGGTTAAAATAAAAAGACAAGTAGTATAAATCAAAACAAAATATATCTATTGTATTTTAGATGAGCCAAGATAGAATTCCTAAGTTCTGTTTCCCTTTGGGAAAAAGGAACATTTGAGTACCAAAACAACTTCAAATAATTTCTGCCCCCCCTTCTCACGTTTGCTTTTTTATTTTTGACTAGAAAACCACATAATTAATTGTTTTTACACTACTAATCAACGCCCATTCTCAACCTTAAGGAAATTACAGTCTGAGCAAGACATGGGGTGAAACATGGAAGAGAGTAGGTTGGCTCAACAAGAAATGGTGCAAATAAATTTAATGTGCTAAATTATTTTATAATTTTAATGCAAAGTGGGGTTTACATTAAAGAATTGTTCCTTCAAAGGATTTCTGGCCTTCTGTCTCACAGCCTTGTCTAGCTTATGCATTTTGAAGCAAGATATCAAAAGATACTTTTTTTTTTCTTTCTCTTTCCTTTTTGCCTACTTCTGATGTAAAGATACGCTTTTTCCAAATTCCAACAAGAGTGAACACTGAATCAATGACTTCTTATGGGCAAAGGCTCATCCTGTGTCCTCAAAATCTGTCCCTGAAGCTCACCCAACTCGTGGGGTTTTCTTCACTGCATTTAACAGTGGCAATATAAACTAAAGCTGAGACTTCTGCTCTCTCCACATCATTCCTCTTCACCATCTCTGTTCAGCTGAGTTTCTGAATAGGTTTATCCCTGCTGAATGTTGTTTCCAGTCTCTTTGAAAGAGATGGGGTTTTGTGGAGCACTGTGTGTACTAGGACCTCCATTTCTGCTTGGAATTGCCATAGTAATGAAACAAGGTGTTCCCTCCAAGTTGAGAGCATGTTGGTGACAGGGGAACGCTGTATTATGTTACCTGTTGTCCAGCTCATGGTTCCTTTTTTGGGATGCAAATAGTCATTTGGACATTTTATGATTGAGGCAGTTCATGAATTACGTGTTTTAAGGACTCCATGATTAATTAATTACCTGAACATTTATTGCCACTGTTCTATTACAAACACAATATAATTAGGTCTGACTGAGAAATCACTTGAGAGAGAGTCTTGTCATTGGGAATTTCCTGCCTTTTAGCTTCTTGATCTCCTAATCTGCATCAGAGATTTCATTCTTTCTTGATTTTGTTTTGCTCTGAATTAGCATGAAGCAGGAGGCAGGCCGTGTGAGAATGGAGGGTATAAATCATGTAAGCACAGATCCCACTGCTCTGGGCTTGAATATTAAATAAACTGCCGTCTTCCTGCCCTAGATAGCTGTTAGTGTTAGGTTAGTCAGGCAGGGTTCCTGGAGCATAAAGAAGCAGAATCGTGCCTCACCATCAGGGGAAAAAAAAAAAAAAAAAAAAAAAAAAAAAAGCATTACACTCCCTTCTCTTAAGCAAACATAAAGCTGGATGTATATCCTCATCATGCAGTGACCCAGGAGAGCTCAGATGGCCATGAATCCCCAGGAATGCATCTCTCATGGTAGATGGGTTTTGCTCACTCTCTTCTTCTCTGCCCTTTCTGCAGGCATCCAGCACACATCCAGAGTGCAGCATCATGCAGGAGATTGAAGAGGAGCGCAGCCAGTGCTTGGCAGAGCTTATTGGGGATAACCAGACTTCAGGTATGGGGATGATCTCTTCTCTTCCTGGCCTGCAAGCCAGCATCACCCAACCTCACATTTGCCTTGCCATGCCATTTCTCACCCCTTCTGTTGTAGAGCAGGGCAGTCACTCCAACTGATGTTGAGCTCTTACATTAGGAGGGAAAGAGATCCTTCCAAAGTACGATGCAATCAACCGAGAGTTTGAATAGCTCGCTGGGGATCCCTTGCTGCCTCCCACCTGGGTAAGCCTAGCTTAGGTGTCTTAGTGTGTTTAATCACAGTTACTCATCCATCTCTCTGAGCTGGAAGTGTCTTAAGCAGTTTTTCTCTGGGATCTGAAAGCTTGAAGTTCTCTTAGGCCTTGATTTGCTTCAGGGGAAGTCATGGCAGCCTTTCTATTTCCATTGAACTGCCCTCCCGGTCTCATGACAGAATTGATCCTGTCCTGGTGGCAAAGCAGAGGCAGGAAAGATGAGCTCCAAGGCTGCAAGGTGTCTATGAAGTGGGGCCAGGTGGCTGAGATCCCCTCCTTGAGACACATGACATGGAGCACACACCACAGTGGGCAGTCCTCCTGGAAGGCCCTCTGGTCCCCTTAATCCACTCTGTGCTTCAGTGATCAGGAGAGAAAGGCCAGGTCAATGATGCCACCACTGTTTTCCAGCCTCCCAGTGAGATAGATCCTGTCCCATCCTGTCCCACAACAGTGTTGTCCAAGTCCCAAGCTGAGGCATCCAGTTGAACCTCTTCCTCTAAGTGCCTCTCTCAAGTTACAGGTCCTGGTTTTGTGAGTAAAGGAGGTGTAGGGGCTTGTGGTAGGCTGTCAGGCTCCAAAACCAAGGAACATTGCTGGGGGATGGGGTGGGAAGATGCATATCCTGCTTGATATTTGCATCCCACCTCCAGAAAAAGAAAAAAGTAGAAGAGTATGTCTTCTCATTCTCTCTTCCTTGGCATTGCTTGGAGTTAGACTATAGACTGAAGGACTATTCTGCACAATACTACTTAATGATAGAACAGCACCCTGGGGACAAGCTGATCCCTGGAGGAGCTTTACTGAATGCAAGTTGGCTTTTGGCTCCTGCTTTTTTTATCTACTAAGGTACCGTTTTCTTTGATTCAGAAATTATTTCAAGTGCCCCTGTCTGGAGCTGTTTGAAGAAATGTTCTTCTGGAATCCAGTAAAAGACCGAAATCAGGGCAGTTAAAAACATTCATCTGTAATCCAGCTAAATGCTTCATTTAATTTTCATGGATATTTAAAGAAATTAAATTAAATACATTACATTCAAAATAGAAAAATAAATACTTGAAGTGGGGTTTTTTTTCTGCTTTTTTAAATTATTTTTCTTATTGGAAAGTTTAATCCAAAACAGCTTTTTTTTTCCCCTCCACTGCATTAAACCATTAAAAATATTTTTCCTGATTCTGGTGTAAAAGCACACTTAGTCATGTTGCAGGCCCTTCATTCCCAAGCACTAGCAAGTATATAAAAATCCTTTGGAGTTTGTTTTTCATAATGGAATGCTGAAATATTGGACTGGGATAATTCTACATTTCTGCAAGTCACTGCCCATAGTTGTTAATGGGACTGATTCAGAAATTGCACTTGTGAACACTCTTAAAACAGTTTTTGTCCATGGAGACAGTACCTGCTACTCCTGAGTTAATGTCCTATGTCATTTTTGTATGTCTGCATGCCCTGGGTAGAAATGGTCATTGGTGATATCAGCGTGGAACATGTGCGTAGGGACACAGCATGTGTTCAACCAAGTTTTACACTGTAAACTGTGTGGAAAACAGTTGGCATTCATTTACCCCAAAACATCAGCAGATATTTAAGACCTCAGTACTGACTTATCTAGACAGTGATGGCTGCCTTTGCAATCAACAGCAAGAAACTAATCTCTAAAGTGCTGTCTCAAATGGGTGACTGTGGGTCAGTCATGAAGAAGTCTGTTTTGACAGTGGTGTGGACAGGTAGCTTCAAAGTACCTAAATGGGATGTGTTTGCCCCTTGGAGTATTGAATTCACAGCATGTGAGCATGGGTGGGTTGAAAGAGATGTTTTTCTGGAGTGGAGCTCCATAACTCAATAAATGCAGCTGAGAGTAGTTGCAAAATAAAACTTTGGACTTTGACGGTTAGGGGTGAGGGGGAAGTTTGTTGGATAGAATCTTATGATGGTTATGATATGAGATCATATGTAGGTGATGACTGTCTAATCTGAACGTTGCTGGAAAGAAAAAATCCCAGTAAAGCTCCCAAGAAAAATGTCATTTTAACACAAGTCAGCCCCTCGGAGAAGGAGAATGGAAAGCAATTGAGATTCCCTGCCATCCATAATGTAATACCTTGATTTATGGCCAGGTAGGTGTGTTGCCTGCTACACATTCCACATCCTTTCAGCAAAAAAGAAGATCACTTGAGGTTTAACAACAGATCTGTTATCCTTTCTAATTAAATGAGTGGAAATAAAGAAACACACCGTTTCAGTGCAGTCTGGAAATAAGCTTTGTTTTGAAGCCATTATCAGTTGTATCGATCAGAGAGGTTTAATCACAGAAGTAATTTGATGTGTCAGATAGATTAGTCACCTGTTAAGAACACCTGATGGTAGTGCTAAGATTGATCACCAGGTCAGAATGAACAGGTAGATTTCCACTGATAAACAATAATGTCTGTCTTAATGCCATTTTGTCTCAAGCACCCATTCCTTATAGTGTGTGTATATGCACAGGTGAAATCAATGCTTTCTTTTCAAGTTACACCTCTGTTTCCAGTGCTGGTAGTAGATGCCAATTGCTGTTCCTGGCGTCACCAGTTCTGGACCACAGGACTGCTGGTTTTTCTTAGCAGGATGAGGATCTTTCTGTTCCCTGTTTGGAGTGTGGTTCAGTATTTGTGAAGTTACCTATATTTCAGGAGACACTAGAAGGGACACAGGAGAGACACAGGGGTCACAAAAGTGTGACCACCTCTGATGAGAAGAGATTAGCATTCCAGCATGACTGCAGAAGATGCATCTAGGGAGAAAACAGCAGGGAAGACCAGTTTAAGCTGGCAGTGTGTACACAGGAAAATAAAACAGCTCTGAGATCAAAGTCTGGACTTTAGTTTGTAACCATCAGAGGATACTGAACAGCCTTTCTGGAGTTCTGCAGGAAGGAGTGTTTTATTGACTTCATGGCAGAGCTTGCCCAGTTTATGAAAGGGTGTGTAGGATGTAGTTGCAGATTGCAGCACAGGACTGAATTTCATGAACAGGACTGCTCTTGAAGTCCTCTGCCCTATTTTTCTTTTACCTCCAGGCTGAAATAACTAGACAATGTAAAGTGACAGTTGTGATTCAATACAGAAGTAGATTCTTTACCATTAAAATCAAGACTAAGTAAACTGAGACTGGTTTGTCCCACACGGGCAAATAGCCATTGCGTGGGAATGATTTTTGATGAGGGATTTCTTTCACTTCATTTTAGGTAGCTCTAGGGTATCCTGGTCAAGTGTAGGCCACTCTTTTAGGATATCATTAATCATGTTCAGATCGTCTTGCCTGTTGACAAGATCTTTGTTTACTATGTGAGCAGCTCAGCTGTGTTGGAAATAACCACACTTCACAGGTGATTTCTGTCCTGGTGTTCACTGGCCTGGGAGGGGATTTGGCTGAATAAGGTGAAGTCCCAATTCCATCATTAGGAGTGATGATTCTGTTCGGTCACATACAGAATTGCATTTCAGGAAGCTAAACTTTCACTAGGTTATTTTTTAGATGATCTTTCCAGCCATTTGGCCCCCAAAGAATGCTCACAATATAATTTGAGGCATTGTTAAAAAAAACTTTTGAAAAACCTGTTACTGTGAAAGTGGCAGAATTCTTCCCTGCTCAATGCAGGAGACGATGTACAAAATGCCTCATCTTAATCTTAGTGCAGACTCTGTTCCTACAGGACCTAAAACTCAACTCAGTGAGATTGCCTGCACCATTTGTATGAAGTGATGTAGACAATTTTTATGCTGGCTTTTGACAGGTTGGAAAAGGAGTGTTGGTTATTCATCCCCTTATCACACAGCTAAGGAGAAAGTACTGCTGGACTGCATCACACACAGATGTACCTGGATGTTGGACCAGCAAAATTTGTAGTTTTGTTATCTGTGAGGTGTCTGGCTTTCCTTGCAAGAAATGGGCCATTCTCATGGCAGGCATGGCAGGGATACACTAGGTAAGATACTGCGAATGACACATATTGTGTCTGCTTGTAATGATGTCATGCAAATGTGAATCCTTAGCTGTGGATGCCTTAATTTCCCACACTAAGCATGTTTTAGTGGACTAGCATCCACTCCATGCTAGTCTCACAGTTGGTCTCCCTGCAAATTTTGCTTTGATATCCATAGATTACGGCAACCACAGCAGCACTCTTGCTGCAATTAAGGTGACTTGTGGGTCTCTTGGCTTTAGTTTTTCTCCTTAAAAAATAAAAAAATAAATAAATAAATTCTGTCTGGCAGGGGTAAGGTAAGGACAAACAAATAGAAAAGTGTCCAGCTATTTTACAATTGGGACTTATAAAAGCACTGTGGTTAGACAGAGTAATAGGAAATGCAGTATTTTGGCAGCACCCCCAATTTAAATTCACACAAATCTACTGTGTATCTGTGGAGAAATAACATCCCAGAAGAGAAAATTCATGTCATCCAGGCTAAGTTGCCTCTTCTCTTTCTTCTCCTCTCTTCTCCCAAATAAATCTGTCCATAGTATCATACATCAATCTGCAGTGCCTGCAGGTGCAGATTTGTGTGGATGTTTTCCCAGGAGCTGCCTAGGGAGTTCCTTGGGAATGCTCAAGTTATATCTAACATATGCAAAGCCACATTGCCCTGTATGCCAGTGCCAAGCAATGAAGTGCTGCAGTGGGTATGCAGAGGCAGGAGCTAAAGTCCTGGGACATTTAGCTCATCAGCATCTCGGGTGCAGTTACACCACCAGCGACCCTGCAGAACTGCAGGATTGGTGTACT